GCCCACTTCAGAAGGCTGAGCCCGCCTTGTGGGGTGGTCTTTATGCTCTCACAACTCGGACTAGCCTAACGAGGGTTTAGTCTGTAGGATTCAGGTGTAATGGGTAGCACAGGGTTTTTGGGTTATCTTGGTTAAAGAGTATGCTTGTTAAAGGAACCCTAAGGTTTTCACGCTTCCACATTATTTAAGGGGCCGCGGGTGGCCCTAAACCCTAAACTGGTGGCCTTAACAATTTAGAGATCTAGAGCTTCAGGTTCCGCAACCCGGATTTCGAGAACTTCCGCTCGATTCCAATCAATCTTCAGGCTCCTGCACCGGTGTAGAAAGCGAGCACTTGAAATACAGTGGCCTTAATAATTAGATAGGGCTTCGGGGCCAAGTTGTAATAAGGAACCCCCAGAATAGTAAAGGTAGTTCTTAAGGCCCCTATATTAAATTCTTCAAACAAGTGATGTTCGCTTTCCCTACACAGGTCAGGAGGGGAGTACCGAAGGTGCGTCAGCCTTGCAGCGATACATGATCTTGCACGGGTGCTTCTGCCTGTAGCACGCATGGATAGACCGACCCTTCTTCTGCTTCAGCCGCTGGCACTTGCAACTTACCAGGAAGACTTACAGAAAAACCTCTGGCTTCTCTCGCTTACTATAGTGATTATAATGTCGTGCTTGTAGTAATTGTACAGTAGTACTGTACGGTAAATATTTTAGTATTTATACTTGTAGTAACACTTTATAGTTTGTTGCATACTATAGTCGAACCTGAGACACACGAAAACACGCACACAAAAGCTGCCTCGAGGCCCACTGCCGACCCGACCCAACATGTCTGCGGCAACTCAAACAGTGCAAATCTTAAAGCCTAAAGCCTAAGCCCCAGACCCTGAAACCCTAAACACCTAAACCCTGGCCTCGCATGATGCAGCTTCGAACGGCTCGCTGCATGGCTGTCTTTGTCGCACCCGGCTGTTAGGGGACGTTGGCCGCGCTGAACCCGGAGACTACAAACCCCTTAATTAAGGAATATGCCTTAAATCAGATTCGAGTTCTTATTAGATCAGATTCGAGTTCTTAGTTCAATCGAAGGCATATTCCCTAACTCAGGGCTTTTGGAGTCTCTGGGAAATTCACTGGTTCCGGCGACCCGGGGTTTAGAGTTTTCGGCGACCTGGGGTTTAGGATAGCCGCGGCCAGCACAAGGAATTGTGGGTCCCGGCTAGGCTAGAGCAGCTCAGCAGTGCATGAAAGCTGCATATTCCTTCAATCCGGCAATGCCGTTGCACATGCTGCAGCGTCACGGTTGGTTTGCTAGCTCTAGGACGAGCGAAATGCAAATGCACCATATAAACCTTGCTTGCTGTGGAGGCCAAGGGAACAACAGTTCCGCGCCGGGCCTACACAGTAATTACCAGGGAGCTTGGTTCTGCAATCCGACTTCATCACGTCTTCATCCTTGGCTTATGATTCTACCAGCTTTCATTTGGGGCCCGTGGGCACGACCTTGCAAAGCAAAGCCAACCTTGTACTGCTATCCTCACCGCCTTGTCATCAAAGGGTCAAAGCAGCTGCGCCAAAGAAACAGGTTCCCTAACACAATTACAGTATAGCAAGTCCCGAAAGCACCGTTCGAAGCATTAAAGCCCTTATATTACCCGGTGTTCCAAAGGATGGCAAAGCTCGGGATAGCCTGCTCCGCAGCTCCCTGTTGCTCAGCGGCTGCATCAAGCACCTCACGGGAATCCTTGCCCCAGTTGGCTGAGTTCCGAGGGAATTTCAAACTGTTGGCTTCTACAAGAAATACATTGTCCCACGAAGGTTACAGGTTTCAGGGCGCTACTCTTCCTGTGGGACATGAAGTCGGAGGGAAATAATTGCAAGAGATGCAAACTCTCCTGTCTCTCAGTTAAGGGCATTTAACGGCCCGGCTAACCGATTCAGAACTAATTCTGAAGCATTTTAAGCGTCTGGTACAGGGGCTAAACCCTGAGCCCTAAACCCCATGACTGACTAGACTAGAATAGGACCTTGGAGTCTTGTCTACGATACTTCGAAATAGGAGCCCATAAGGAACTGCTAGTTGTGGTGAGAAAATCGATTATGGCGCGAAAAAGCAATAGCTAATGTTTGCGGTTATTCAGGCTGCTATGTGTGTCCTAAACCTATAAACCCTAACCACGTTCCCTGCTCCATTGGATCTCCTGAGGCTAAGGCCGACTTTTGCAGCTTCTGCACATCGCCTTTCAGCATCTCAGACCTGTGTCTGATATTGGTAATTTCCATAAAGTTTCGGTCTCTATCCTACCCGAGACAATTTATTAGCAAGTAGGGTCGACAGGTCGGCAAGGGGATGAAGGTTGCACATTTTTCCAACCATTAAGTTACCCCATCATCTTTACATCTCTCATCACATGCTTCTCGTGGCTGACCTTGTGGCTCTCTTGTTGCTGCTGCCATTCAACATTCAGGTGCTTGGAACTGCGTCATAGTTTCGCTTCGCTGTGTCGGGGAAGATGATGCCAAGGATGATCCTCATCTTTTTCCCACAATTCTGCGTGAGAGTGGGTGCTCCGAGGTTGTAATGGTTAGTTTAGTTAGTTTGTACAGTTGCAGCTGGTCGTAATCCCCAGAGAGCAGGCCCGTAAAACCAAGCGCCAAGCACCAAGAACCTTGGTTTGAGTTCCGGGCTCCTGCCGGGAAGCTTCGGCCAGCCTCGCAGCCAGGTATCAGGTCGGAGAGATCACACGGGGAGCCGTACTACCATTCTCTGAGATAGCAATGGCATTTAGCAGTGGCACTTTGAGCGGTACATGGCAATACGGCCAAGAATTAGTAGTGGTAGCAATACAAGTACCGGCAGCGCAGAAGCAATACAGACACATGCGCGGGTGGAGTAGTCATCGTCGCAGCAGTAGCAGTAGAAGCCGTAGAAGCAGCAGCATCAGGAACAGGAGCTAGAACAGGAGCAGTCGCAGTATCAGTTGTCGGCAGGATCATCAGCAGCAGCGGCAGTAGCAGTAGCAGTAGCAGCAGCAGTGGCAGGAGCAGCAGCAGCAGGAGCAGGAACAGGTGCAGGCGTCGTAGCAGCCGTCGACGCAGTAGTCGTCGTAGGAGCAGTAGCAGTACAGCAATAACCCTCGGTCGCAGCGGAAGCACGATGGAGCTGGCACTAACATGAAGCGCAAACTCAAGATGACGTCACAGCCAGCGTGAGCTAAGCCCCGATCGGTGTAGAGCAACTAAAGGCAGCAGACATCGTGGAGCAGACGGCGGCAAGGAAGTACCGCGCGGCCAAAGGCTTGCGACCCCTGGCCTGGGGGAGGGGGGAGGCGAGGCCAAAAACGTAAATAATGTATGTACGCATGCATATGGATACACGTGTACAAAACTAATTACAACACCATCAATACGGAATAATGTCGACGGAAAGGCCTACAGTAGAATGTTCAAGGCGGATGGGACAAGTCGTGCCGGGTAGACCTTCGCTGCTTCTCGGCTTCTTCTTCCAGCTTCTTCACCTTCCACATTCTGCGTTCTTGTTAAGGAATTTAGTAATTCATACTAAAGTCATGATAATAAGGAAACCATATTATCTAATATAGATCCCTTTACGGTAATTTACGCTAAATCCTAGCTATACAAAGGAACCTCCCAAAACCCTATTCTAATTATTAAGGCCCCCGCTTTAGACTGCACTCGGTCTTATCTGTTTGTTAAGCTGTTTCCTCACGAGAGTATACGACCAGGCCACGGAAAACAAAGGCATTGCTCAGAATTGTTGCGAGTATATATGTATACATACACACACATAATGATGACAATGCTAATACTTGCGATTGTCTTATTATTAGATATGTATACACATACACATACACACCTATATGCATATATGAACATGTAATTCATGCAAATTGTGCCCAGGGCTGCGGAGCATCTTTCTTCGGCCCCAGATCTTGAGACAGAGTATCTGAACCTGCTTGAATCACAACTAGATCCTTCGATTCACCATAACACCCGTAAACTGAACAACCCAGCCCTACACTTAACAATCCTGTCTGTTTCCACCTATACTCATTACTCCGCCTGGGTGGTGAGTCCGTCGCACTTTGACTCCATGGCCGCTCGGCCTTAGCAATCAAAGGATTCCGAAAAGCCTTCTTGATGCTCCTCTACAACACGGCGTTTTGGGAGGTTTGGAAATTTAGAGATTCGGAGGCCTCGAGTGTTGCGTGCGTGTGTGTGTGTGTGTGTGTGTCGCGTGTATGTGTTGTGTGGTTGTGTGTGTTTGTGAGAATGCTTTCAGGGTTTACTTCCGGGGGCGTTTCGGCCTTAGGGATTTAACGTGTGTTTGCCTACCGTATTTCTAGGATCAGACATGTTACTCTTAACTCATCTTACGGCCGGCAGCGGACACGTGTGATAACATCAAAAAATGGGCACGACGGCAAATAAACTGATCTCCGAACTCGATGAGCGCAGTCATGCCAAGGTCTTGGCAAGCCCTCAACCAGCAATCAACTTGAGCCCGACCTCGACTAGTTGAAGAGGCTTGACAAGATCGAGTGTAGGAGAGTAGCCTCTGGCCAGGGGCCGCCGAGAATCCCTAAAACAACACCCTAAACCCTTAAACCCTAAAACCCTTAAACTTCAAAACCCTAAAAGGCCCTAAAACCCCTAAACCCTTACCCCTAAGCCTCTAAACCCTTAAACTTCAGAAAACCCTAAAACCCCGAAACCCAGGAGTCATCCTTTGAGCGGGTTTGGGGCCCAGGCTGGCTCGAAGATCGGCGAGCTCTGCCCTCAGAGGCCAATTGAGTTTCGAGATGAAAAGTATGGGAGTTTCCGAAACTTAAGGGTACCTAGTTTTTGGGTCCTTATGTTTCATAAGAATCCTACTATTTAGGGTGCTATATTAGGGTCCCCTATTTTCGGAAACTCCCATATGTATGCTATAACATATGATGCGATATATGCTAGCTTTACATTAGAATATACACGAAAAGTCTTCTAGATTATAAACACTTGTATGTATACTTCGCATCCTTGGCTCCTTGACAACAGGGGACATAGACAACGACGACAATAGACAGGTGATTTCTTACCACCTGCCCTGCGCGCAAACTTCACCTCGCAGGCTAAGAATTTCCAGGACACCAGCACGAGGACTTTCCACTCGTCGGCGCGTGCGTGGTTCTCATCCTGACGCAGCTGCTGCGTGAACATGTAACTGCAGGTGGGCATTCTGCGGTCAGAGCTTCGACAGCAGAGGCGACAGCTCTTTTTTGCATCCGGGCTGTGAAGCATGTGCCGGCAATCATGCTATCTGGTGCCTTGAACAGCACCTTTCCCTGCGCGAGACACATGCAAAGTGCACGATAGCCAGCGCACGAAAGAAGTGAAAAACTGACTCGGACATTCTCATCGCGCTCAGTCCAGCTCGGAGGTCACGGTCGCGCTAATGACGCTGGAGACGGCGCTGAAAGCTGCCAGCATGCATAGGATGCCAACTCCGAGCACCACGGATGGCATGCCCTCGCCATCTGCCGCCATTGCCGCGGTTGGCGTCATCATGACTGCTGGCACTGCAGCCCCGGCAGCAACTTCGAGCGGGGTGCTTCCACGGAGCTGTGTGGCTGGAGCAGGCCCGCTAAGGAAGGCAAGGCTGTGCAAAGCGATGCATGCAACCAGGGCGACGCAGGCTGTGATCAGCTTGGAGGAGCGGGCCATCCTGGATGGTCTACGAGTCTAAGAGGGTCGGTCCCGGCTTCTCCCTGCGAGCAAAATCTTGAGTCGACATATGGTGAATCGGAATCGCGGGCCCTTAGTGTCCCGCAGTTTATTATACATGTTTGAAGGAATCTAGAAGGAGGTGATGCAAGCAACTTCAGGTCATGCAGTGTCGCGCACTATTCGCTACTCGGATGTACTTTAACTTGTAACTACAGGAAAATCACGGGACATGCCGGGAACAAAAATCTTTGCAGCCTGCATCCGAAAGTACTTCTGCTCTTTGCCTATGCCATCCCCGAATTTCAGCCCGCTTCAAATTCTGAGCTCTGAACCGCATAACGGCTTGCTCTGACTCCAGGTCTCATGTCATACAGCAAGAGTTTGCCACAAAGTGCATGTTCTTGGATAGTACTCTTACAGGAACTCTTCCTTACTATAGTACTATAGGACCCTTATAAAGCACCTTTCAAGGATCCCCCCCTACCCTAAACCCTAAACCCTAAATCCCAAACCCCAAACCCCTAAAACGGAAACCCTAAACCCTAAACCCTAAATCCTAAACCCCAAACCCCTAAAACGGAAACTCCGACGAGGGCCCCGGCACGGAGGCGCTCCGCATCAGCCCGGAGGTCTTCTTGCCTTACTTAGAGGATCATGGGACTTAGTAAGTAGGAGGTTGAGGATCCCTTTAAGGGATCTATAGGGGCTCTATAAGGGTTTGGGGTTTAGGGTCTACTTAGAGGATCATGAGACTTAGTAAGTAGGGTTATAAGTACCCTCACTAGGGTATAATAAGTATATATATATATATATATATATATATATATAACCATAGTTACTTTACTTATAATCCTACTTACTAGGTCCCATGACCCTCCCAGTAACCCTGGCACAGCAACTGCACCGGGACTGGCGGCGAAGCAAGCCGTCATCATGACAGGTCCGAGTGCAGTTGCAACCACCAGACGTAACGTGGCTTGAGGGCGCTGTCGAAACCTATAGCCTTCACGTTTTTGAATCTACGACGGAATATTGAGTCCTATCCTCCTTGAGGGAATTCCTTCCAGTGCACGAAGGCGCTGCTACATGCCTTTACGCCCGCAAAGGCTTCTGGCCGAGGCACCGGGTTTGATGGTACTCGGCCTGACTCTTGGCCTGGATCGCGGTGGTGGGGAGGGGGCCTATAACAAGCAGGGAGGATACCTTGCTGGCTTAGGGGTCGGTCTTCGAAGAAGGGATCCATCTTCGGAGACTCCCTTCGGGCTCTGCGCAGTAACGGCGGTTCGGAGAGCCATTTCCAGAAAGATGAGGACATTGTATAGGCCAAGGTTACATGGCCAGTAAGCTTAGCAACAGGATCATTCATAACAGCATTCGTACTGTTATATTCATCAGTATGCCAAAGCCCACCGTGTCTAAACGGGCAATATGAAGGAGCACAGTGGGTAAGCACCAGCCTTCGTGCATGTTCCGATCCAACTGAAACTGTACCTCCCTGAACCCTAAAAAATGTCTGCCACCTTCAATAATTACCTATAGTCTCCATTGTAGTTCCTTTTTCTGGTTTAATCAAATTTATATTAGGGATCCTAAAAGGGAACCGCGAAAAGGAACTACACTACAGGTAGTGCATGTTGCGGCCGACAGAAGCCCTCAGCTCTCCCTTCATGAACAGTTTTCGACTGCGCAGCGTACAAAACTAAGCTGCTTGAAAGATGCCTCCCAGTCTTGCCCATGGTAAAGGGTCTTGAACGCATAACCTAAAATTTTGGGCAGAGAAATGTGACCATGCAGGTTCCCTTGGCCTGTCTCGCCAGTTCGTCTCGCTCTGCCTTTGCAGGGACAGGTACGGGGTTTTAAGAGTTCATGTTTCTGCACTCTCTCGATGAGGCTGACAGGATCAACACGCGAGACCCATCTGGTTGAGCGTCGGAGGCCAAGCTCCGGCATGGGGTGAGCCAAGTAGAGGAGGAATTTGTACAAGCTTGCACATGCAAAGGACCCCATTCCTAATCCTCCGGCTTGGAGATTGCCCGCCCAATTCTTACTGCATCACAAGCTCTCGGAGACCGGTTTCTCGTCTTGCATACGGATCAACTTCCGTCTGGTCACTGGCCAAAAGGCCGCAATTGCTTCCGCCGGGATGGCGGCAGAAGGTTTTCTGGCAATGTTTGATAGTGAAGAAGGAAATGGGGATTGCTTGGCTGAATCTGTCTGCTTACCTGGACCTAGCGCATGGCAAAAAGCATCACGAATATTTGGGCAAGGAGCTTATGGCTTATCGCTCGTAATTTGCGACATTGTGACCGATGCGCAGAGAGAGTGCTCCTCTGGCAATATTTGGAAAGAGTCGTTTCTACACCGCGATGATGCTGCTGCTTGTGGCGGTGGTTGGGGTCGAGGGGTGGCGGTGGCAATGTTCTGCCTGTTGCTGTGGCTCTGGTCATCATGTCAGGCCAGTGCCCACAATAGCCGGCCTGCAACCGTGCAATCTCCGCTTGGAGCTGCACCCTGGGAGAGAGGTGCTTGATGAGAAGTTATGACGAGCTTTACATTGCACACCTGTCTGAGGCTCGTAATTTGGAGCCTCCAAGCTATTTACGGCAAGACATTGGCAGCTGATAGCCGAGTTTGTCGGCAAAAACCATTGCCAAGAAAAGAAATTGAGGATGCTGAGCAGCTGCGCCTATCTAGTCATTCGCATTTCAATCTGGCAAATCCCTGCGCTTGTGAATCCGCAAGTTCTTGTTCATGGCTTAGGGCTGCGAGCCCTGGCATCTGCAAGTCCATGACTGGCATTGGCCCCAATATCCGAAGATGCACCACCCAACTCCAAGGAAGGTAGGCGGGCTGCGCAGAATCAAGCAAACACGACTCCAGTCTTTTACGTCCCCGAAACGTAAACCTCAAAGCGAAGGTTAACGGTAACGAGCATCCGTGAAACAATCGCAAGGCAAGGCCCACACTGATGCAGATTCTCCTCCAGGCACAGCATGGACTCGGACTCTTGGAGGATTGAGGTCGGCAGAGGTCCGGTATGGGGGCTTCAGCACTTACACAACTGGTACTTCCGAGCGCGGTCCAATGAGTCATTACGACTCATGTCGCGGAAAAATCGTTATGATAATTCGGGTTCAAGCATCCTCAGGGGCTCAGGCGTGCAGCTAAGTGAAGCGTAGCAGTTCAGGTCCGGTTGATGCGCGATATGTGTACTTAGTGGATCATGGTACTTAGTAAGTATAATTACCATGATTAAGGTTATAAGTAAATATAACTATAGTTACCTTAAGTCCCCTGATCCTCCAAGTAGCTGCATCGGGCATTAGAGTCCTCGTTCGGGAGTCTCGAGTCAAATAACTAGTACCTGGTTACCTGGTTGTAGTAATAACAACAAGAATATTAGCACTAATTTCTGTTCATACTAATCTTACTAACAGTAAGAATGACAACCATAATAACAATAACAATACTAAGAGCGAAGTTGATACTATCAAAATAGCAAAACAGAAGAACACGATTTGATAATCTTTCATAGAAAGAACAATTAGTGACTGCAATAACAAGAATACTAACAATAATAGTAATCATCAAAGTTTATGTCTCGGACCACAGTCCGCACAAGCATCGCGACAGATACCGTCCTCTATAATGAAGCACCACCGGGGGATTTCTTTACAAGGGTACTATAACCAGAGTACGATAAAGGGTAACACGGTTATGATAAAAGGGTTAAGATGCTACGGGTCCTATCGCGAGTATAGGGTAAGCATGTCTCCTGCTGTGGAGCTGGTTGTTCTTGAAGGCGCTGCGCCTGGGGACGGTTCACCGGGCTGGCTCATGTTACGCCTTGGCTTTCCCCGGTCGTGCTCGCAAACTGCTTCACATCTGACAACCCTACATCCTAGAGATTAAACCTTACGGAGGCAATGGACTCCAGTTCTCACAGACTGCCGTACACGAAAGTGCTGCCAACGACTCACAGGTTTGCAGAACCCCTCGAAATCTGTTACGAAAGGCTGATCCACTAGGTGTCCCGGCTCCAGGAGCTTTAATTAACAGTGGGTTGTGCCAGGCAAAGCCGTAAAGAACGAGACTCCAAACAAAGAGTCGACATCCCCAACAGCAGTCGAAGCCTCTCCAAGAACTCGCTGATGCTCCGCGGACAAAGCCTCAATGTTGACAAAGCCGATGAGCAAGCATCAACAAGGTGTTTGAAGACGGCCATGCGAAATCATGCGAGCCATCGCGAGTCGCCTGAACAGGCTTTGCGAGCTGACAGACGGATGAATTCCTTGCTGGAACTTTGACTTGCACAGCGGGTGGTGTCCCGATGGAGCTCACGGGGCATCAATACTCATGGATTGGGATCGCGACCGCTTGCTGCGCCAAGGCTTCTTCAGCTCGAAGTGTGAGATCCTTAGCACCAGAGAAATGATAAGCGAGGCGAAGAGGAAGAAAGACAGGAGAGAGAGAGAGAGAGAGAGAGAGAGAGAGAGACGGAGAGAGAGAGAGAGAGAGAGAGACAGAGAGAGACAGAGAGAGACAGAGAGAGACGGTGAGGAAAAGGCCGTGTAATGTAACGGGGTTTGAGAAACATACGCGCAGGAACCCGGCCAACGGGCAAACCACTACCTACCTATTGTCAAATTTCTAGCAGGATATCGTCTTTAAACAAATCACGATGCTTTGTATATTGAGCCGATGAGGCAGCTAGAGTTTGGCGAAACCATACTAAGTCCCTATGCAGGCATGCCAAACGTTCATGTGATTCCACTTACGCTGTCTTTAAACCTTAGTGTCATGTGTTGGTGCATCTCCTTGTGTTGTCCACTCGTACCATCGGGGTTTGACGATTGCAATAGGGTTTTAGGGTAGGTTATGCAGTACTGTAGTATTAAGCACAGAAACCATAAGGGGGTGTCAGAACTAAATCTTCAATGTTCAGAGCTATACTTTAGAAGCTGCCCCCACCCTGTAATAGTGGTATAATAAGAATATTATAGGGCCCTAATATACTCCTTATAGTCACTATTACAGGGTGGGGGCAGCTTCTAAGCCATACCATACATTACGTTTCTATGAGGGCGAGGCATGGGTCCTGAACGGTAACCCAGGTTCCGGTGCGAGAAACCCAGAGACTCCAATATCCCTTAACTAAGGAATCTACCTTGAATTATAATAGGATCCCTGATATGATTTAAGGAATATTCCTTAATTAAGGGATATTGGAGTCTCTGGAAACATGGACCGTGAATGGGCAAAGGCAGCGAGGATAGTAAACGCGATGGAGATGCTTGCTCTTCCGCTGTGGCGGAGTATAAACTGTGACAGTTCGGTCTTCTACTTCCGAGTGTGTAGGCTCCGAGAAACCCTAAACCATCATAACTATACGCCCTAAGTATAGCACCCTAGATAGTAGGATCCTTATCATAAGGACCCCCAAATAAGCCCCCTCACTAAAACCCTATCAACCCTTGCTGACCGTGGACCCCAAAAGCTTCGAACGCGAAAGACCGACCCCTCAACCCTTTTTGCCACTGGGCTTGGCCCTAAACCCTAAACCCTAAACCCCAAGACCGACCCCTAAACCCTAAGCCGCCTGTGAGGCCCTGGCGGAGTGATCGGCCTCGAGGATGCCATACTGAGCACCTCAAGATCTTGTCCGTATCTCTCGTCATCGTTTTTATCCACCGTGTTTGTTGCTGTAATCGGGAATTCTACCAAAACACATGCGAACTGGACTGTTATGAGGCTGCGGTGGCCCAGAGACGCTGCGATGATGGGGTCCAGCTCGCGGGGCTTCGGGGCTTAGGCCCTCAAATGGTCTCAGCAGAGTGTTTCCGAGGACGGGGCGAAGCTGCTCGCACCTTGCAGATGGTGAGAGCTCGGGGCAGTAATATAGGGGCCGCATAATAATTAGAATAACGCATAATTATATTGTACCCAATAGTATAGCTCATTATTCAGGCCACTATCTTACTGCGCTTAGGCAGCCAAGACCATGTCCCCCGCACATGCTGCCGATGCAAAGCTTTTCTCCGCGGTTTTCTCAGCTTGCCCAGCCGCCGGCATTGCACCTCAACGGCAGCGGTCTAAAGTGTCTGAACAAGGCAGCTTCTATACTGCGACAGATAGCACAAGTGGATCCTATGCTTGAGTAAGGCCGGCTTCAAGTGCAAAGGCAGCTGAGGGCAAGCTGCGCTCTTTTCCTCCTTAATACAGAAGCTCTTCGATCTCCTCTTCGTCCTCCCGATCTAACTGAGCTAAAACCTCTTCTATAGACGGAATGGCTTTCGCCTTGCAAATGGTGTCGACGCCTTTTGCGCCGTAGCCCTCTTTCGCCGCACAAATAGTGTCTACATCTTTGGTGCCGTAGCCCTCGAAGCGCATGCTGATATTCTGTTCCTGCTTTGCTCTGATGTGCCGTTGACGAACCCTCCGGCCCTGCCATCTGCATGTTGCGAAGCCCGACCAACAACCCTGGCTGTCGAAGGATCGGGCGACAGCAAAGGAACTCGGAACTGGCGTTTGGGGCTGGCTATCAGATGCTTCCACCTTTCCTCCCTCACCATTTCGGTAGGATTCCACCATGCGCTCCATCTCTTTAGCTTTCTGCAACTCCCCATCGTCTTCGAAGAGGGCTGCCAAGAAGTCGCAGGCATTCTCCCTGTACGCCTCGTTGAGCGTGGCATCACCTTGCTGCACACTCTGATAGAACCCTTTTACACCTGGACTACGCAAAGGCCAGGAATCGAGAGACCCTAAACCCTAAACCCTGGAGGGTCAGAAGTGGAGCGTTGGGCTTTGCCGAACTTCGTTCTCCGTGCAGTTACCCATAGGCCCCATAGTAGTTCCTTTCTGGGATTACCTTATAGGGTTCTAAATTCTAAATGTGAACCCCACAAAGGAACTACTATGGGGCCTATGGATAGTCTTGAGTCTTGAGCATTCACATTTAGCATACCTCCATGACTTGCTATAGTCCGCGGCTGCAGCATATCTGGCCCTAGTCGGACTTCAATACTTTCAAGTGAAAGTGGTGAGTTTACAATACCAAATACCGGCCCCTTGTCCTAGCCAGGTTTACAATGCAGAAGCTACTGCACAGAGCCTTTTCTCAACCCCATTGATGCCCGGGGCACGGTGAACCTGCAGCAGCGAGGCTTTTGCGGAAGCTGCCACCTGACCAGCGTTTTGGAGACGTGATGATGAAAGGGCAAAACCCTCAAAGTAGTTTAAAGATTTGAGGGTTTACGCTCCCCCAACTCGGACAATCCAGACGAGGTCTCAATGCGCATTTTGATTGGAGGGTTTAGGGGCTTGAGATTCTGGGATGCAATGGCCTAACTGCTTTTCTGTTTTTTTCTTAAGCCCTTCAGAACTCCGACATCCGTAAAGCTTGCGCAAAAACAAGTGCTGGAAATGTGCTTGCCTTCGACTTCTCGTGGTCGCGCGCATCTGTGGCACGACGAAGAAAATAATTTGCCGAGCCGTGCAAGAACCTTGGAGAGGCGCGAACAAAAGAGTTTGGGTGGCCCCTGCGAAGCCGTCGAAGCCGGATGGCGATTTAGGAACGCCAGTCAGAAAAAGGTTCTATTCTACAGGTCCTGGGCCCAAAGGTTAAAACTCGCCCTCCAAGCAACGTGGCCAAGGAGTCATCAGGGAGGACAGGCAGGACGTCTTTGTTCAGGATCCGGATGCACCGACGGGCAGTCTTCTCTCCTTCCGGCCCCAAAGCCCAAACCTTGGATGTTCTTGGGACCTCTTAGGGAGTCAAGTTCGGGTGCTGTCTCCCTGGTTCTTGCATGCTACCTGTTTCATTCTATCAAAACAAACTGGCTCTGAAGAACACCCAGGAACGCTGCCTGGTCCCATCGTGCCTGCTTGATGCAACACCTCGGCGGCAACGGCATGCAGGAACTTCTCGGCCTCTTCGAGGGCCGACCTGGCTTCCTGCTTAGATTGGGCCGTGGACACACGGCTGTTCCCGTCCGCTTTTGGATTGCGGGCCGGTGTCGCGCCCATCGGCTGTCCATGCATGGGTTGCCGGTGTGAGGTCCCGAAAACCTTCGTCTTCTTCCCCTCGTCGTCGCTGTCCCCCATCTTATCCCACTTGCCTGGGTTCTTGTTATATAAGGGTTTTAACTTGAGTTACCATAAACAGGGATCTATAGTAAATAATCTGGTTTCCCTATGATACCAGTAGAAACTTAACTTGCATTCCTAGACCCTTAAAGGACATGGGAGTTTCCGAAAGTACGGGACCCTAAGATAGTACCCTGAATAGTAGGATCCTTATTAGAAGGACCCCAAAATAAGGTGCCCCTCATCTTCGGAAACCCCCATACAGATCCCTTAAAGAACCCAGTTGCTGTAGTTGAAGGCGTCAGAGCCACCCGAGCCCGAACTCTTCTTCGGCTTCCCGGCTACTGCCAAGCCAGGTTCGAGGTCCCCACGGTCGAAGAAGTCCTCCACCTTCCAGGCTCTTCTTCAGGGATTTTATTTAAGTTACCAAAGTATGGGCTCTTGTTCAGGGATGTTGCTTTTGCTTGCCGAAATGGGGATCTATATATATATATATATATATATATATATATATATAGGGGGGTTCCTTTAAGGGTATATAGGGTTTTAGGTTTAAGCTGGCGTAATAAGGATGTATAGTAAATTAAATAACTTGCAGTCCTTATTCTGGTAGCTTAAACTAGATCTCCCAACACGAATCCAGCCTAAACCCTAAACCCTAAACCCCTAAACCCTAAACCCTAAGAATCCAGCCTTGGGCCGATAGGTCCCCAACTTGGCCACTCGAACCCGGGGCAGCGTTCGAAGTGGAGCGGCGGAGGAGGACCACTCCACCTTCGGCGCCTTTGGAGCCGCTGGCGGCTCCGGCTTCCCTGCAAGAGGGCCTTAATGATTACCTATACTATTCTGGGGGCTTATGATAGTTATGGTATGATTCTACTATTTTGGCGGCTCCGTATTATAGTGCGATTTCAATGAAACGACTCAAATGCATGAATCGGGCCTGACTCTGGCAGAGGAGTTGCGGCTTTGCTTTTGCTCGCCTGCTGCGGTGCTGCAGCTGCCTTGCCGCAGCAGAGCTTGTGCAGCTTCCATCCATTTTTCTGGCAGGTAAAGTTGCAGTATGCCACCTGATCAAGTCAGCACTCAACTGTTAAGGGTCGGGGGTCCCTGTAATCCGGTCATCGTCTGGACTGCTCTAACAAAATGTGGTGGTAGCTCATAGCACTAGTCATATCCCACTCATATGAACGGATACCGCATCATGCTCCCCACACTCAGGGTTCCTCCGAGTCTGACCCGATGATCCAAAAACGCAATTCATGAGGCTCTTTGAAGGCCTGAACCAAAAGTGCCAAGCCTCCTTACATCGGCCACATTGGAGGAGTGCCCCTAAACAGCCGCAGTGGTCGCAGCTCAGCTTGGACAACTCGGAATTTGGCATTTCTCCGCGTCTTCGGGATCCGAGGAAAGGTCGGAATGGCTCCGAGCAAGATCCCTCTTTGAAACCGAGGTCAACTCAGAAACAAGAGTTGGCGCTTAGTTGAGAGGGCGTTTACTCAAGGCCTGGGCACACGTGTGTATTCTACACCGTAGCCTATGACCGCGAGGTCGTGGGAAGCTCATGCCTTTGCTACATGTTTCAAGAACTCTCTGACAAAAAGTTGAAACTCGCCAAAACTGCTGGAGAGCCGAAACGTAGAGAGTCGACGGTGTTGGCAGTTTCGCCAGGCGTTAACAGTGACAGCATGTAGCCTATGCCTGTGCAAAGACCTGCTCGGGCCTGGGGCAAGACCGTGCAAACAGAATGTAGGGTCCTTTGTAATTAGAATAGGGTATAATGGGGCCCATTATAACTATCATAAAGAACCCCAAAAATTAAAATAGAATGGGTAATCATTAAGGCCCCATATCAACTCACTCGAGGTCCGGACTTCCTCTCGCCGCCGACCACACGGCGACACGAGCCACGGCAGGTAGATGTCTCTGCTTGGGGCTCTTTTTACCTAAATAGTAGGTTACTAGGGTTACCTAAAGTAGTAGGTTACCAGGGTACATCATGTATGGTGAAGAACCTCCTATTTAGGTCACTGGAGCCCTATAGGGTCTGCGCTCGGCAGTGCGTCAGGCTTCTACAAGATGCGTGTCTGCTGGCGGCGATGCAAGCTCAGCTTCACAGCAGTGGCGAACGGCATGACTTGGGCCAAACACTGGGAAAATTGACGTCGATGCTGGGACGTACGCGGTCCCTAAAACCCCTAAACTTAAGTCTAAACCCCTGAACCCTAAAGACTCCTAAACTCAAAACCCTAAGCTACTTAAGCCACCCTAAAAATCTTCGAGAAGCTCAGGGCTCGACTCCCTCTCGAGTTTGGCCACCTCGGCCTTGCAGATTGGAGAGCTGGAAGCTGACCCCACGCGTCTTCCCTGCCGTCCTATTTGGGAATTTCTTCATACTGTAGCACTAGAATTCTGCTCAAAATCTTATACCACCAAAAAACCTTGTTCTAACTACACCCCAAACCCTATTCAGCATCTCATGGCCCCTTTGTATCTAGAGAATAATAGTAAACTTATAATCATACATACTAATTCATTATAACCTTTAATAATCAAAGTTCCCAGACCAGGCCTGTGAGTCTTGCAGCTGCTGACCGAGCTTCTGAAGCCTCGCGCGGAGCGGGGGGAAGACGGTTTAGGGTTTAGGGTGCGGAGATTTTGCGGCTTATGGTTTTGTCTCACGCTCTCACACACAGCAGGCAAGGCTCCACTCAAGTCTCAGCTTCAAGCTACTCACGTCGTAGCTTAGGGTGTGCGGCTTACGCTGTCACAACTCGGAAAGCCAGATTTTTTGCCTCCTGCATGGCTGAGTACACGAAGCAGGGAGTCAGGAAGTATACAGGTGAATTCAGCCTCGACCCGATGGGTTATTAGGCAGTTCAGCAAAATAGCGTGAAGCCAATTGCAGGACTCTCCCAGTTTCAGGTTTGTCCACTTACATTATTACCAATTAAAGCAGTATTTCATGCTCATGCAAGGCATCAAATTCAGGATTTCAGCAAAATGCCGTGAATTAAAACTATGCGATTCAGATGACTTGGCGTTGAATTGGCGCTCAGGACAGTTGAATTGGCACTCAGGGACAGTTGTCAGGCAAGGTCAATTGCGACTGCGACTGCCATCACAAGCAGAATGCAGGCAAGAATTAAATTCCAGCTCGCATGATGCCTGCAAGAGCGCATTACTTCGCAATTCAGTTGCTTGGCATCGTATTGTTTGTCAGGCAAGGTCTTTTGCGACTGCCATCGTAAGCATAATGCAGGCAAGACCAAAGTCCGGCTCGCATGATGCCTACCAGAGCATATGACTTCTCAAACCTCTGCTTGGCATCAGAAAGGGCAGGCGACCTCGTTCATAGATGCAGAGTTTCCGAATGACAGCCTGTTGTATCCAGCATGGTATCAAAAGTGTATACTGAGTGACCAAACACAGATATAGGTGTCCTGTAAAGCCAGATGAGGTCTCAGGGTTTACAGTAGAGCTTAAGGCTTAAGGCTTAGGGTTTTTAGTATAGGGTTCGGCTGTGGGACTTTGGGCTTTGGGGATTAGGCTTGGGGAAACAAGGCTTAATGGTTCTTGGATTTCGAGTTTATCTGGAACCCTAAACCCTAAACTCTAAACCCGAATCCCTAAACCCTAAACCCTATAAACTCTAAACCCTAAAGCCTATAAGCTCAAGACCCTGTACCCTGTTGCTTTGGAGTTTCGACTCTCCTGGCTTGGCGAACCCAGCCGAGGCTGCTGTTCGATCATTGAAGGCGCTTGCTTAGAGGATCATGGGACTTAGTAGGGGGGTCCTTAAAGGGATCTATAGGGTTCCTTAAAGGGAACTATAGGGTTTAGGGTTTACGGTTTACTTCGAGGATCAGAGGACATAGTAGGTAGGGTTATAAGTAAGGTAACTATAGTTCTACTATTTATAACCTCATTTGAGGTACCTATAACCCTACTTACTAAGTCCCATGATCCTCTAAGGTGGGGTCAGGGGCACTGCTAATTTAATGCTTTTTACGTCACCCACGAGGAATCAGGAACTTGGCTACCGAGTTTGGGTTGCGTTGGCATTTGTATGGGCCCAGGGCCCAGGGCATACAACTTCTATGTAGAAAGTGTGAGGAAGGAATTGCTGTGGCTAGGACCTCTATGAACCCTACACTGCAGTGGCTTGAGCCGAAGAGGAGCGAGGAAGGTTGAAGGTTGGGAATGTATCTTACTTTTGCTTCGCCGCTGAACGACCGCTGAAGTGGAAGATTCTGGGGTGCATGGCGGCTGGCGACAATGTCTGAGGAGCCGGACTCCATGGTCAGCATGTCGCCCGACGCCTCAGGGCCGTTGTCCGCAACAGTCTCGCATCTCCGTCTTACAGGGAGTCTAGACTACACATAAAGCTCTCACAGCGGGCTGCCTAGAACTGCCTGAACTAATTGGGTCGAACACTTGAGGCACAGCATGTGAACAAAGCAGCTGTAGGGGCTGTTTCAATATGTGGCTCGCTTTCCCGCTCCGACTACGGGCGGTGGAAGCTACTCTGTAAACACCAGGATCTGTCAGCAGCAGTAGTGAAGCCAGAGATGAACAACATTCATATGATAAACCCAAACAAGTTTCGGAAGACATAGACGGTTTGCAGTGACCAGAGGCTGTCCCAGCGGGAATGGTTCGAAACGAGAAATACATCCCGAACTGCAGCAGATGGAACAATTCCGACTGGAGCCATCCCAGTGCTTGCCGAGAACATCCGCAACACGGATAACTCCCAGAAACTGCAACTCCGGAAGACACCCAGCTGCCACAGCCTGCGCATCGTGTGCTTGGTCATGCGTAGACCGGAGCCTTGAACAAGCAACCAGTGCGTATCGTCTGTATTGCTAACTCTGGATGTTGTGAATGCGGGGCAACAATAAAACGAGAAAGACTTACTAAAACAAAGTACGACAAAATGAGAATGTTGACGGACAGTAGTGAACATCATAATTTGCCAGTTTTTTGCTTTTGGAGTGCAGTGGTAATGGCACTGGCCGACACCGTCTGCTGTTGCTTTTCGTGCTTGTCTTGTCGGCACATGCCTGCAATATCTGCTTCTAAGCAAGACCTCCACTTGAAGCATCCATCGTGCTCCGCTGCTGTCGCAGGCCCAAGCTTGGGATCGGACTCCTTCTCTAATCTCGCCACCTCGTCCTCAATGGAAACAGTAGGATGAAATCAGAATCACTCGGGCCGTTCAGGTGGTGTTTTGTCGGAGGTACGACTTGGGGCATCAGAAGCCCCTGGATAACAATCTGCAGACTGCATGCCTTGATTCCTGCCCGTCCCCATGAAAATCGGTGACCAACTAGGCCCATTGAGTTCAAGCCTTTCGGAATCAAGCTTCATTGAGCTTCGCAATCCAGCCATCTCTGAAAGCAGTCCCCACATTCCCTAACATCTGCCTGCGCGTCGTGCAATTGCATGTTGACTTTCTGGACCCTGAGCAGCAAGATGCCACATGGGGGTTTCCAAAAATAGGGGATCCAAATTTATAGTGCCCTAAATGGTAGGGTCCTTATTTATAAAACCTCAAAATAAGGTACCACTAATTTTCGGAAACCCCCACATCAGGAGCGAGGTAAGGATCAAAGTCGAAGCATCACGCCAGGCAAGTAGTCACATGTGAAGCGGGCCCTGGCATTAAACCATGTGCAGAAAGAGTGTGCGTCTTCACAGCAGGGGCTCAGCGGAGCACGCGCACGCACGCACACACACACACACAGACACACACACGCCGAACTCTTGATCTGCGCATGTACGGTGCGGACATAAACGTAGATGTTCAACTGGACATATGTATACTATGAGCATGTATGCCCCAAAATGCATTGAAGCGTCAGACACACAGAGAGAACAAGCGGCAGTGTCCACGGAGTCTGGAGATACTCGCAGGGCTAGTCATGTCTCCCGCAGCATACGGCTAGGACGCAAATATGACGATGTCGTTCTGCCATGGCTAATGGCGATGGTCCTGAGTGGCAATGATATTCTCATGGTTGCAGCGATGATTGGTGATGGTGATGGTGGCTATTGTTGTTGTTGTTGCTGCTTGTGTAGCACGTAACTGTACTCTAAGCAACGGTGTGGGATGCTGACGACGAAAAAACGAGGACAATGATGCGCAAACAAAAGATGATGGTGGCCATGTTGAGCAGGAGGCTCAGGACGACATGAGACATGGTCGTGATGGTCCATGGCGTTTACAAAGAATGAAGACACTGAAGCAGATGTTGATTTGCATCACAAAGTGGGGCAAAGCAATCATCAGCCCCGAATGTCTCAGCCCCGGCACCACATTTGCATATATCACATCCGGTAGCCCAAACAACAGCCACTCTCGCGCATGCCTACCCTCAAGACAGATACGGAGGGAATCTAAACCTCAAACGCCGGACCCCTAAACCCTAAACCCAACAACCCTAAATCCCCAAGCTTAAAACCCAAAACCCTTCAACCCCTAAAGAAGCCCAGATCTTCCAAGACGTGTGCTCTCGCGACTGCACAGCACCAGCTGCCTCCGAAGCAACTTGGGTTCACAGTTCGGAGTTTCCGAAAATAGGGACCCGGGACCCTAATACAGTACCCTAAATAGTAGGATCCTTATTATAAGGATCCCAATTAAGGAGAAGGTACCCCCTATTGACGGAAACTCCCAGTTGTCCTTCAGTTGCAGCAAAGAACCAGCGTAAGTAGCGACTTGCGGACCTTAAAGCCTAAAACTCTTCAAGCCGGGCGCCCTTAAACCTAAACTTACCTGAAACTGGTCCTCTATCTTCCAAGACTTGGCTTCACGAGCCCTGCTTTGGCAGAAACTTAACACTTGGGATTGTGCCGCTTTGGAACCAAACCCTTCGTTTGCGGGGGCGTGCTTTAGAATGTACCAGTGCCTGGAGACTCCAAAACCCCTAAACTGAGGAATATACCTTAAATCATATAGGGGTCCTTAACTTTCTGGAAATCCTTAATTAAGGAACATACCTCATATAAATGATATTGAGGGTCCTATTATAACTTACCTGATAACTTACCTTAGGCTCATACCCTACCCCTTTTTTTGAGTACCTCGTTCTTTGGTTAAGATCTGTTATTCAGAAAAGTAGGTAACTTACAAAAAGGGGCAGGGTATGAGCCTCTAGGTGGGGACATCCTTAATTAAGGGATTTTAGAGTCTCTGGGTGTATGGCGCAGGGCCAGACGCTCTTCCGGGATGCCAAGCATAATTCCGGCTCTGCGGGTAAATGCGACTTCGAAGAACTCCCTGTAGTAGTAGTCGTAGTAGTAGTCGTCGTAGTAGTCGTGGTGGCGGTGGTAGTGGTGGTGGTAGTAGTAGTAGTAGTAGTAGTAGTAAAAGTGGCAGTAGTAGTGGTTCTTCGCCCCCTGTCCTTTTTATTCTCAGAAGAAACCCAGTGACAGTAGCAGCGCGAGGTTGAACCTGAGATAATACAAGTGTTGCAGCCTCGGCGTCGTGTGCTTGCTCCCGTGCTGTCCGAAGCCTGTCTCGAAAGTTTCGCGTTTGGAGCGACGACTGCTCAAGTACCCTAAACCCTCAACCAAACGCCCTCCCTCTCTCGCTCTCCCTCCCAGGCATTCGGTACGTCAAGCCTGACTGAAGGGCTGCACTTGCGGTCCCGCGTGAAACAACAAATGCCCTTTTTGCAACAACAAATGCCCTAAACCCCTGAGCCAGGGCCAGAATGACATTGGTTCCAATCCCCTAGGCCGCCTGACATATGAACTTTAAACACACCGAGATTCTGCAGATATCAAGCTGCTTCTGTTTCCGGGCCTCAACGTGACCGTTCCAGGCGAACTTGTATGCACAAACCAAGTAGACCCTGTATTTCCTGGACAGCATACCCCGCTGATTATCTGTATATCTGCATATGCAGGTATATTTGCATATATACATGTATATACACATACACAGTTTTTGGGAATGTCTGCACTGCACACGGCTTATTATGCTTTTTGGATTACACACTTTTTCTTTGAGAATGCTGTGTCTTGCTGCGTCCTAGCGTTGCAAGGGCCTGGAAGATCGGGCTGCTTGCGGCATCGACATGTACAGTGGGGCAGGGTTGGGACCCTTCTCTGGCATGGAGTCCCGACTCCTCAGTTCGCAATCACATGACGTGCCTCGGAGGAGCTTTTGCAAATGCCGTCATATGGACTTACTGGCGGTTTTGGCAAGTTTAGGCAATCGGTGGCAGGTGGATCGTCTGGGCAATCTGTATGATGACAAAATGTACAGACATAGCTCTTGAACTACCTATCTGGTTGCTCTCTCTCCACCTCACTCTCTCTTTCTCCGTCTTGCTCCAGCCCATGACCCTGTTTTACTACATAGTTCCTTCCGTCCGTGCTCTGTAAGTGCAGAGACGCGATTAAATGCAACAGCAGTCTTGGATCGGAGCTCTCTTCGCAGCTTCTCAATTTCCGCCTGTCAGGAAGCGCCGTGACAAGAAATTGCAGAAGACAAAGTGTGACAAGAATTTGCAGAAGATACAGTGTGCCTTTATGCTATCTTGTTGCATCAGCAGTGATTCACGGCAACCGCAGCAGGTGAAGCTGCTTGTCAACACTGCAGCAGTCCGCAGCCACAGCCACTCAGTCCAAGCCCTAGTAAAAAAATTAATGCTGCGAACCCCGCACGGCGCTCAAACAAAATACTGCTGCCCAAACGGCATCAAACCGGCTGGCGGCCCCAGATATCCCCAGATCACTTCCCTCCTTGCAGCGGTACGTAGCACTGCCTTGACGACATTCCATGCACGCCGGCGACACGCCTCCAGCCATCCGTCCCACCCCCACCTCCGCCACCACACGGCGCGAGGCGCAGGAAAAACACGCTTCGCACCAGGCACAGAACATCAAGGACCGGTTGGCAGCGGCACCTCTGCTACGGCCCTGGGCCCTGCCCGGCCTCTGCTTCCTGGAACTGCTGTCCGACTTTCTGCAGCCTTGGCTTGTGAATCTGCGCTGTACGTCGCTGTCACGGGGCTTATCCCACATATACCTAGTAGAGCATGCTAGTTTGTCGGGCTCTGTGGACCTCGACTCGTCGCGACATCTCCGCGCATCCGACTTGCGTTCAAAGTCCAAACTTTTGACTGCTAAAATAAACCACTCGGCCCTGGAAACTGGTCTGAGGGAAGCGCTCCATGCTCAGCATGTTCTCAGACGCCTCGCTGCTTGCACATGGTCTACAGGCCGAGAGTACGAACGTTCAGGTTCACGCCCTTGCAGTCGGACCGGCCAGATTTGGTTTTTAGGGTTCGCAGTCGGCTTTCAGGGAGACGAAGCAAAATTGACCTGGCATCTGCTGTGCATCTCCGAACTGCTCAGACATTTCTGCTCTTTCTGCATGAATTACGCGGTTTCTGTCCGGGTAAAGATCTAAATCAAAATCTTTGCCAGCAGCTTTGGAGCTCAACTGGCAGTGGCCTGAGAATTGCCTGCCTTGTAAAAGCAGTTCTAAAAGCCAAAGAACATGAGCAATAAGAAAAGCTCATGCGCCCGTCCAGACCAGGTCAAAAGCTTGGATTTAATTCATGCATGCTCACGGCAAGCTGTGGTCAGCAAGCCCGCCCGGAAAGAGGTCCGAGATGCTGTCGTCATTTTCAACCTCCGCCTCGGCTTCGGCAGTTTCTGTCTCATTCTCCGGTGTTAATCGCTGATCTCCATGGGCACGCCACACTTCGTTCGGGTCGTACTTGGTGCCGTCGGAGTACGTGATGTTGGGGATTGGGCACCAGGCACCCTTGCAGCTCGTGCACTGTTTCTCATTGAGGGCACAGTAATCATCTGGTGCAGCAATGCCCGAAACGGGAAAGGCACTTCCGCAAGGATCTACTTTGTCCTTGAAGGCTTTGACGCATCTGGGCCCAGGGCACCACGTCCCGCCACAGCCTCCGCAGCGGGCCTTTTCGGAGCATGTGGAATCCTGTGCAACATCTGCGCAGTCGCCGCACATGCCATCTGCACCACTCTCTCCACGATAACAGCAAAAGCCGTTGGTGTCGTCCGGTGCCACGTACACGTTCTCCTCACGACCATAACTGTCCTCTTCAACTTTGAAATTGGATGCATAGCCTGCTCGGCACCATTCTCCCTTGCAACTGCTGCAGGCGTCTTTGGACGTAGCGCAGTAGCTGTCACTGACGGCAATGCCTTTGGGGAATGCTGTGCCGCACATGTTGCTTGGATCAGCGGCACCCATAACGCATTTGGATTCACACCAGGTCCCCTTGCACTCGCCGAGGCAGTTGATCTTTTTGGAGCACTTGCTCTTGTAAGATGCGATGGACATCGGATAGCAGGTGCCACAGGTGTCTTTCGAATTCTCTCCACTGAAGCAGCAAGTGCCACCTTCTTCCTGCTCTCTCTGATCCTGCTTCAATGTCTCGTTGATTTTGCTGATCGTCTCCCCCACACCGTCGTCGCCACTGTCTTCGATGATGTCGGCTGGATCCGGCACGTAAATCTGCACAATGTCGGGGGTTTCTGCCTTTGGCGACTCCGGAGTCTCCTCGTCGGTGCTGACGGCGGTGGCGGTGCTGTTCGATGCCTCCACCGGTGTGGCCGAGTCGCCAACGTGGGACTCGGATGTGGCGATCGCTGTCTCGTCGCCTGCGACAGCGTCGGCGGCTTCTTCAGTCGCGTTGCTCTCGGACGGCAAGCCACGAAGTCGGCGCAACGGGCCCTCGATGTCCTCAGAGCTTGTCGCAGCCAAGACGGCGTTGATGGCAACGATCAAGTGCAATGACTGTCGCAGCATGGCCGTGAACTAGCAAGGAAAGCGAGCACTGTTGGCTCTTGTCTCCTAACAAAATTTGCCCTAAATGTACCTTGAGCCGTGTCAGATTGTGTTTGCTATTTGGGCTTTAGGCTTACGGCCAGAGCTTCAGGGTGTGTTCTCAGGGGCCTTGCTGCTTGCACATGGTCTACAGGCCGAGAGTACGAACGTTCAGGTTCACGCCCTTGCAGTCGGACAGGCCAGATTTGGTTTTTAGGGTTCACAGTCGGCTTACGGGGAGAGAAGCACAGTGCTACCACTGACGAAGCAAAATTGACCTGGCATCTGCTGTGCATCTCCGAACTGCTCAGACATTTCTGCTCTTTCTGCATGAATTACGCGGTTTCTGTCTGGGTAAAGATCTAAATCAAATCTTTGCCAGCAGCTTTGGAGCTCAACTGGCAGTGGCCTGAGAATTGCCTGCCTTGTAAAAGCAGTTCTAAAAGCCAAAGAACATGAGCAATAAGAAAAGCTCATGCGCCCGTCCAGACCAGGTCAAAAGCTTGGATTTAATTCATGCATGCTCACGGCAAGCTGTGGTCAGCAAGCCCGCCCGGAAAGAGGTCCGAGATGCTGTCGTCATTTTCAACCTCCGCCTCGGCTTCGGCAGTTTCTGTCTCATTCTCCGGTGTTAATCGCTGATCTCCATGCGCACGCCACACTTCGTTCGGGTCGTGCTTGGTGCCGTCGGAGTACGTGATGTTGGGGATTGGGCACCAGGCACCCTTGCAGCTCGCGCACTGTTTCTCATTGAGGGCACAGTAATCATCTGGTGCAGCAATGCCCGAAACGGGAAAGGCACTTCCGCAAGGATCTACTTTGTCCTTGAAGGCTTTGACGCATCTGGGCCCAGGGCACCACGTCCCGCCACAGCCTCCGCAGCGGGCCTTTTCGGAGCATGTGGAATCCTGTGCAACATCTGCGCAGTCGCCGCACCTGCCATCTGCACCATTCTCTCCACGATAACAGCAAAAGCCGTTGGTGTCCTCCGGTGCCACGTACACGTTCTCCTCACGACCATAACTGTCCTCTTCAACTTTGAAATTGGATGCATAGCCTGCTCGGCACCATTCTCCCTTGCAACTGCTGCAGGCGTCTTTGGACGTAGCGCAGTAGCTGTCACTGACGGCAATGCCTTTGGGGAATGCTGTGCCGCACATGTTGCTTGGATCAGCGGCACCCATAACGCATTTGGATTCACACCAGGTCCCCTTGCACTCGCCGAGGCAGTTGATCTTTTTGGAGCACTTGCTCTTGTAAGATGCGATGGACATCGGATAGCAGGTGCCACAGGTGTCTTTCGAATTCTCTCCACTGAAGCAGCAAGTGCCACCTTTTTCCTGCTCTCTCTGATCCTGCTTCAATGTCTCGTTGATTTTGCTGATCGTCTCCCCCACACCGTCGTCGCCACTGTCTTCGATGATGTCGGCTGGATCCGGCACGTAAATCTGCACAATGTCGGGGGTTTCTGCCTTTGGCGACTCCGGAGTCTCCTCGTCGGTGCTGACGGCGGTGGCGGTGCTGTTCGATGCCCCCACCGGTGTGGCCGAGTCGCCAACGTGCGACTCGGATGTGGCGATCGCTGTCTCGTCGCCTGCGCCAGCGTCGGCGGCTTCTTCAGTTGCGTTGCTCTCGGACGGCAAGCCACGAAGTCGGCGCAACGGGCCCTCGATGTCCTCAGAGCTTGTCGCAGCCAAGACGGCGTTGATGGCAACGATCAAGTGCAATGACTGTCGCAGCATGGCCGTGAACTAGCAAGGAAAGCGAGCACTGTTGGCTCTTGTCTCCTAACAAAATTTGCCCTACATGTACCTTGAGCCGTGTCAGATTGTATTTGCTATTTGGGCTTTAGGCTTACGGTTTACGGTGACGGCCAGAGCTTCAGGGTTTTACGTAAGACTTGGGGTTTTGGGACTAACCATAGGATAGAGTTAAAGCTTACAGCCTCGTAAATGATGAAAGTCGGCTGCTAATGCGGCCGTCTGCCGCGATGCTGTGGCGTTGCCACATTTTCCGTCCAACTCCGTTGATATACCTAGCATCTGAAGAAGCACCCAAACGCCATTGCTTGCTGCGGCATCCGCGAAACGCTGCGCTACGACACGATGTTGATAACTGCCTGGTTGGACAAGGTGGTCTTTAGCTTCGTTGCTAGACTGAGTATTGGTATCGCCATCGACACTACTAAGTAGTCCTTGCACGAGACAGGACATGTTCACGGATATGCCCTATCCGAAAAGTTGCATCTGTGGTTTTGGGGGCCCTTGACCAGGGTCTAAAGTCCAACAGCACCAAACCGGAGGGTGTCACTTCTATAGGGGCCTAAGTAACTACCTACACTATTTTGAAGGTTCCGTATATTTATATGTCTAATGGGCCCCAAAACTCTATTCTACATACTAAGGCGCCTTTATCATACCTTCAGCTGCCTGCGCATCCGCCGCATGCTCACGGGCGGCGAGCTGCCTGGCAACTAAACCCAGAGCGGTGCATCTGAGAAAAAGATACAGCTGGGGTGAGATTGGTGCACGTTTTTCCACTACTACTGCCCCCGTGCATGCATATCTGCCTCTGTAAGACTTGCAATTTTAAACATGGCAAAACGACAGAACACGACGGACATCTTCTTGAATAAAATCCGGTGGACGAACACCTTGCAAACTCTGTTGCTCTCCTTGGCTTGGCCTGACGTCTTCGCAGGCTGAGTGGTCGAACGGATTTTGCCCTCATGTGCATTATTGATCTCGTCATTGCTGTTATTGCGCATGCAGCTGCCATTATACCGACCTCAATGGGTGCGGCTTTGAAAATGGCATGGCTTGGCCCAGCTGTTGTGTCCTGGATTCCGTCGAGATCAAAAGTATCCCTGACCCCGAACCGCCCCAAGCCCGACATGTGCTCAGTTAAACCATATGGGAGGTTCCAAAAATTAGGGGCACCGAATTTTCGGCTCCTTCTATTTAATAGGGATCCTACTATTTCGGTACTATTTTAGGGTCCCCTGTTCTCGGAGACTCCTATATACCCACAAAGTCAAACCCAACTCGGAGACTCATCCTGCATGACTTTACTGCTTTCTCTCGTCAATTCGGTTTACGCTCTCGCAACTCGGACACTGCCACACGAGGTTCTTGGTCCGCGGTCAATTCGGTTTAGGGTTTACCTGGACCCAAAGGAACCTACCTTTTTCAGGGCCCCCCAATATGATTTCTTTATATAAGTCCCCCAAAAGGTAGGTTATTTGGGGTCAAGGTAGGGTCACTTGAGGCATGGGCTGCCGCTGCTGCTCGTCGCTTTCTGCCTGCGGCTCCAAGTCAAAGCTTTGGGATGTCGCTACAGGTTCATGACGATGAACGTGGTAACTTGCTATATAAAGTATTGAATGGCGTGGGTCCTGTGTGCACAGATTCTCTGAAAAGACGCATCTTTCGAAAAATGGTGTATGTGGAGACAGAAACGCTGTTGTTTTAATTCTTTTGTCCCTGCGCCTGTCTCAGAAGGATTCGTCTTAATCCTGAACACTCAACACGAGCTTACATTGAATGCTGCCTAGACCCCAAACCTCACGTAAACCCTGCAACGTACATCGGAATGGAAGCAGGCGTCTAGGTTCCAGTGGACTTGGAATGTGCCGCGGGTCTTTGTTCCTGCTACAGGATCACTGCCACGAGTACCCTAGAGTTGCCTGAATGCCTCCGCGCAACCAGGCTCCTATGTGTTCATTCCCCCTATCACCCAAAACCCCTAACCCTTTTTGCTACTTTTCTTCAAGACTAACTCATCACGACTGAAGCTCTAACCCTAGACCCTAAAAGCCCTGAGCAAAACAAATCCTGTAGCCCTCCCCTTTACAATAATAACATAATGGAATAATAGCATCATATCAGAATGTTATAGTATCATTCTTATGATATTGTAATATTATGAATACTATATATATATGTATATATATATGTATACATATATATGTATACATATATATATATATATGTATATATATATATATATATATATATAATCATATGAAAATCATATTACTATACATATATAGCCTGGAGTCGGTTCAGCTTCTCCTGGAGTTTTTGGATCCTGGCAGGGCCAACCGTGGTAAGGCACATGCCCAGCTGCCCAAATACCTACTTTTCCAGCCATCTAACCGTAAGGGATCCTTTAAGGGCTCCTTTAAAGGATCCTTCAAGGGATCCTTTTAAGGAATTCTTGAAGGGATCCCTTAAAGGGTGCTCGAGGGTGGAGTTGCTTGGCTGGTTAGCTATCGTTCCTCTTCTTGGCTGAATTATAAGCTGCTTTTTGAAATGAGTGCAGGGTGGGAAGCTGACGCTGAAATTCAGAACTTCGAGCTGTCGGGACCTTGGGATTCGACGAAGCTTGGGAACTGCCACCTGAGTCGGAAGCCCGGTTGGGGATGTGCACAGCAGGTTGCAATGAGGTTGTGCTACAGTGCCGGTGACTTTTACGGCTTAACTTGTTTTGGGTTTCGATGAGTGTTGACGTGATCACCCCCCTCCCCTTCCAAAAAGAAAACCCTTAAAAACCCTAATTACACTCAATACCCTGTCAGATACTTGCTTCCCTAAAACTAGGAATCGAGCCAGTGCAGTTTGCAATCTGCTTTTCAACATGGCCAGCTTGTGAAAGCGGTGGGGCTGAGGACGAAGCATGTAAGGGTTGGCCGAAACATGCCAGTCAGTCTCTTCTTTGTAGATGCTTTCGCTCGCCGATGCCTCCTGAAAGCTGATCGCATGAGGGCATTGAGCCTGGGCTTATCAAACAGCTCGACATACATATCACTGCGACGCGCATGCGAATACCACGGTCGGCCAACCTTGTATTCAGCGCTCAAGATTTGCAGGTTCCCCTTGCATGTGTCAGTTCCCCAAACACCCAAAACCGACTTCCCGAGTCCTCCGGTAACATTGAACTGCTGTAGGCTATTCATATTATGAAGCCAACAGCTGCACCGG